TCAGGCTAAGTACTGTAGGGTAGTAGTTGAAAGCATGATGGGCTGGGTTTGAAAACTGATAGGCTTACCACTTACCAGCTGTGTGACCTTGGGCTAGTGACTTGTCTAGGCTTCAATTCCTCTTCTGATAAATGGAAATGTTAATAGTACCTCTCTCAAAGGATTATTGTGAAGATTAAATGAGATCATGTGTGTAAAGTACTTAGCAGGGTATCTGGCATATGGCAAGTGTTCATACACAGTTGTTTTCGCCTATTTAAGGGCAAAGTTCAATTTTTCTGTGTTGTGGAAGACTCCCAAAAAAGTACAGATGCATATTCCTTTTAGCCAAAACCTTGAAAATGAGATTGAGGAATCAATACCCAGAGGGAAAGACATCACAGACAGGAGAGCAGGAAAAGCTAAACCTGAGCTCATTCCTAAGTGGTAGGTAACCTACCTCATTCCTAAGTGCAGGTAAACCTGCAGCTGAAAACATCACATGGACACCAGAACATGTTCCTGTTATGCTGGGGTATGGCATCAACCAATGACTTGGTGCGTGGATGCGTGGGCCTTTGTGGGAGTCACTAGAAACGCTCATGTGAAACAAGCAGTTCTGTACCTGCAAGAAGGCAGTCTTCATCATTTCCACTTTACAGTGGCTTCCAGCTGGTAAGGACATTGAACCCAAGAAACCCGCCTGGTGTCCAGGACATTTCTCCAGGGACCAGGACTGAATCCTCAGAGGTCATTTCCTCCGACTAGGTGGAGGACTTCCTCCTCACTCCAGATGTACACCCATAGTCTGGCTTCCAGGCTGCAGGATGAGGAATGGGATGTGGCTATTACCCTGGAACTGGATGTGGTTATTACCCTCATCCTACTGGCTGTTTGCAGGAATTTGATCCTGAGACATAAATGTATGCCCCCTCCCAATGCTGGCAGTTGAGCCTCCCCTGCCTCTTTGGCAGCAAAAATTCTGGCTGAGGCAGGTTCTTTCAATTCATTGCTGATGAAATTACCTATTATCCACAGTGCCTTCACAACAGCTTGAAAAAAAATGTGATTGTGCCAGCACCCACTGGCATTTTGGGCCCATGCCAATAGTATGAACCCATTTTCCTTTAAGTGGCTGAAGTCAGAAAGGCAGGAGTCAGGCTCTGGGACACTTGGATGGGGTGACTGGACAGCATCAGCTTCAGGTTCAGGTTGAGGCCAAAGATGGCAAGGAAGACGCTGGTGGGAATATGGTCTTTCCCTGCACTCCCAGATACTGCAGAGAATGACCCTGGGTCTGAGGTGACTGTCAGTCACCTCAGGAGAGTTTCAGGAGCTTTTGGAAAGTAGTTGGTGAAACTCAGCTGAGTTGGTGGGGCATGGGATGATGGCCCCAACTCCTCATCTTTTGATAGGAGGATGCCAGACTGTCTAGCCATGTCCAACTACACTGCCCCAAATCAACCACTCCCAGAGGAGACAGAGCCCTTTTCACTCGCACACAAGTCTGGGATGGCTCTCTCATGACAGTCATCTCATTCAACACTCATTCATTCTACAAATATGTGAATACCTACTATGTGCCAGGTACTGTGTGGGTGGGTACCCAGGGTGTAAAACTAAGTAAGAATGTTTTCTGACCTTAAGGAGCTACCAGTGTAGTTAGCGCAGGGCCTTAGGGCTCCCAAGTTTTTGGATTGTCCAGTTGGGTCATTTTGAGTGGCAGTAGGCTTCACTTTATCACGGCATTGACTCGCACTGAATCCCAACCTTAGTGTTGTGGGACAGTATGCCTGGCAGGCAGCACCCGGAAGAGCTCTGCCTCTAGTCCAAGGGCTGCTGCCGGTGGTTCCCTCCCATGTTTAAAGAGGAGCTTTGGCTTGGTGTTGGGGAACATGCAGAGAAGCCCAGCCTGACTGTGCTGCCCCTGGCTCCTCTTCAATGCTTTGCTTCCAAACCTCTTTAGCCATAACCTTTGCAGACATGGAAAAAAGCAGTCTGTAGGCCAAGTGTGGTAGCTCATGCCTGTAATCCCAACAGTTTGGGAGAACGAGGTGGGTGGATCACCTGAGGTCAGGAGTTCGAGACCAACCTGACCAACATGGTGAAACCCCGCCTTTGAAAAAAAAAATTAGCTGGGTGCAGTGGCAGGCACCTGTAATCCCAGCTACTTGGGAGGCTGAAGCAGGAGAATCACTTGAACACAGGAGGTGGAAGTTACAGTGAGCTGAGATGACACCATTGGACTCTAGCCTGGGTAACAGAGCGAGACTCTCTCTCTCTCAAAAAAAAAAAAGTCTATTATCAATCTTTGGAAGTGACTAAGTAGGATCACTATACACGATTGTGTAGCTTGTATACCTAGCCAATGAAGCAAGTGGGGCTGGACAGGGCTGAAATTACCAAGCCATGTGCCCATCACTCAGAGGGTATCATGATGGGGGCATGGGCAGCAGGAAGAACCTTTTTCTAATTTGGACAAAGATGCCTCATAGGCTAGTGAAGACCTGTAAGTACCGGAAGAAAATTAGGAAACAGGAGAAACAAAATAATTTCTCACCCTTGGGTAACTCTGAAGAGCCCGAAGGGTTAGCTCTGATTAGGGTCCTAATGCTTCCATACTATGGAAACAATCCCTCCTTCCCACCCCACTACATGGCCAGCGGCTGTTGCAAGGGATTCCATAGCCTAAACTGCGAGGCAGTCAGGCTGCACTGAGAGCAAGAAGGCACGGTTCAGAGGGAGAGGCGCCATTTCCCAACCCCAGTCTGAGGAGTGGCCTAAAATCCTAATTTCCAGGCCATCTGATACACTAGGCACAGAGCACACTGTTTTTCCACATGCCCACCCCCCGCCAACACCACCTACAACCCTTCAGCTCTGAGGTCACAGCCATGGTGGCCAGGTGAGCCAGAAGCCCCATGGTCAAGAGAAAGTGGTAGACAATTTCCAACTCCCATGAGAAACAGGAGGCTTCAAAGAGGAACAAAGGGGATCCCCTGCGTGTTGCAGAGGTGGGAGGAACAGGGTCCTTAGCTGTCATCACCCACCAGTGCCCAGTACATAAGAGCAGGGGTCCAGGAGGAGCACACAAAGGGCCACCACCAACCAACAATTCAAGGACACAAGGACACCCACAAAGAGGCACCGCAAAGACTTATTGGGATAGTAAGATGAATAGATTTAATCATTCTTGTTTGAAAAACAAGACATAAATTAGTATATATATATAATTTATATATTTTATGTAGTATATATACTATATACAGACATTAGAAAATGTTTCCTCTCCATGAGGCTGAGGGAGAGGTGAAGGATGGCAGTGGAATGACACAGGCAGGGGCTGAGTGGCGAAGTTGGGAGAAAAAGAAGACCATGTCAGCACTCCAGCTTGCAGTGGCTGAGGGGAAAAGGATTCCCCGCTGGCTGCATCTCTGGCCCATTCAACAACTTGGTCCTGGGGGAGGAGAAGCAAGGAAGGGAGGGGCTGGATTCTGCAGAAGAAACTCCCCTCCTCCTTGCTGGGAGAACTCACCACTCAGGGAGACTTTATTGTACTAGAGGCTACCAAGGATGGGCAGGGGTTAAGCACAGTGTACATCTTTATAAAACTCACATCAGAATGAAAGATTTCACATGGACCTCTGACACAGTGATGAAACAGAGGCAGACACAGGGCACAAGAGTGTGGGAAATGGGGAGATATGGAGAGGTGAACAAGAAGCAATCTACAGAAGAAACATTGGCTTTCTTTGTTCCCTACAGTGGGACAGTTGGTAGGGACTCCGTGTCTTCACTCCCAGGAAGGTTGCGGGGATGGGGGTGGGGGGCGAGGTTGGGACT